TTTTGCTGCAAAAATAGTTTGAGAAAGAATAATTGAAAAATTAATAATACCGTAATAGTTTGACTACTAAACTATACTATCAATTAATTATTCTGTTATGACTTCTACAATCTTATCACATATCAACTATTCATATCTATTACAATAAGTGTCATCTTTACCTTTTTCATTATCCTTTTCCCTTCTCTTACCGTTATCGCTACAAATTATCATTGCGATCATTTTCAGTTAATATAATTATCAGTGATAATTATATTAACTGAAATAATTATCAATGATAACTAAAATAATTATCAATGATAAGTAGTAACTAAGGAGCTGTTTGTTTCAATTAGCATATTTCATATCATCACCGATAAAAAAAAAAAAAAATTTACCTGTATTCCGAGAAGGAAATCTTGGAGCCTTCTTAGCTCAGCCGGTAGAGCATCAGACTTTTAATCTGAGGGTCGCGGGTTCGAGTCCCGCAGAGGGCTATGCTATTACTTCAGCTGCCTCGTTTGGTTTTTTTAAATTTCAAAAAGTGTTTAAATGTGAATGGAAGAAAATGGAGAGCAGGTGTGAATCACGAGAGAAGAAAGAAGACAGAGAAAGAGAGAAAAGACGACGCATGCGGTAGAAAATGTAAGGAGTCGAAGAGAGGAAGAGAGAAAGGGAAGAGAAAGCGATAATTTAAAGAGAATTTAGAGAATACGGAGTGATAAAGAGAGGGAGTGAATAAATGAAATATTCAAATGTTAAAATCGAAATGATTGAAAATTAATACGGTCATAGTGTGTGTGAATAGGAAAAAAACTTGAACAAACACTTTTTTTGATGACATTTTTGATACTCTCTAATTTGCTCAACAAATAATTATTGTTTTATTTGCTGAGCAAATTATTTTAATGCTACCAACAAAAGATATTTATTTGCATACAAAAGAGATTATTGTGTAATATAACGGTTTTTTTTTTTTTAAATGCTTTTTTCTCTGCGCAAAACCGGCGATATGCGGATGCGCTAATTTGGAGCGGAATCGAACCGCTGAGCTTCCGTGTGTTAGACAGATGTGATAGCACGCTACACTACGAAACCGTCATCCCCTATTATATGTCACTTTTTTAAATTTTAAATTAATTGGTAAACTTTAGAAATTGATTTCATTTTTATTTTGTTACTTCAAAAGTAGTGAAAATTTGCTTTTCAAAATTTCCTAGGTAAATAATAAAATATTTAAAATGAAAATTGCAGTCAGTGAAAGGCATGCGTTTGTGGTACTTTTTGCGTTTTGATCAACCGTACATTAATGAAATGGCCATTGCTTGGGAAGATGCTGCGGCCAAGTTTATCACGGAAAAATTTTCAAACAATTTGTTAACTGAAGTAAATTTTTTTCCAATGATTGAAATTTAAATATAGTTTCACAATAACTTCAAGTAATTGTTTCAAAAAAAATTTATTTGTTTGTTTGTTTTTACTGTTACTCAATATTTATTTTGGTTTTTTTTTTTGATTTTTATGATTTAATTTAAATTTGCAAAGATGTCTAACTTTGATTTTTATTTTTGAAAAAGTTTTGAACAATTTCTCTGATACGATTTCAAAATCTTCAGGTTCATTTTTGATCAGTAATGAAAAGAAAAATATGACAAAATTTATATTTACATAAATTCATAACATTTCTGGCTTTTGTGCATATTATTGTCAATACTTTATTGAAAAAAAAGTGAATTTCACATTTCGATTCAAATTTATTTCAGATTCACATTCAGCATTCACGGACAATTGACCTAGGCCTGACACGTAATGCGAATCGATTGAAGCCTTATTTTATCGTTACAGTTATTGTATTGATCTTTTTCAGTACCTTCAATTCGTTGAAATGGAAATTTTGCAGTGGTCAAGGAGTGAATTTCGGTAGATTTCTTCATTATGAGATAGAGAGAGAGAGAGAGAGGGAGAGAAAAAAAAAGTGCTTTCTATGGGAATTATCTAAAATATGCAGTTACGTGATATGTGATGTAAAACGAAACAAAAATATTCTCGAGGAGTTAAATCACTACAATGCCCATTGTATATCAATTTATGGTACACGTCTAATTGAAGTAGTGCAAGAATTATTATTATTATTATTATTATTTGTTCACTAAATTAATCCTAAAATTCTCGAGCATTTCATTTCAGTTCGAATTGATTGGCTTCGATCAAAACCATTGCTTGCGCTTTGCGGTGTGCTTTCATCAACATTAGCAATCATAAGTGGTATTGGTTTGTTACTGTGGTTTGGAATGTTTTTCGCTGAAATAACCCTTGTAGCTCCATTCCTAGTTCTCTGTAAGGCTTGATTTTGCTTCATAATACTTGTCATTTAAGGTCTGATTGAACTTAAAGACATGCAGAATGACCTCCAAGATTGACTTGAGTTTAGCAATATTAAGACGAGTTAGATGTTTTTTTTTTTTTCACCGATCGGTTCATGAATAGTGAGGACAAAATCCATCACATATTAAGGTGTCAAAAGTTTTTTCAATTAAACCATACCTGTTACATATTTTCAACTTTAAATCGGATAATTCGAAGATTATACGGAAAATCTGGCTTATGAGTTAGCTATATGTCAGGCTTTTAAGTCAAATGATTGTTACACATTCAGTGAGTTTTCTTTTCGGAAATGTTAATGATATTCAGTTTTGTCCAAGGATAGGCATATTTACGTTCCATAATTTAAATGAAATAGAATTTTTGAATTATTTTGAAATGTAAATTTTTATATCGCATTGGAATATATTTTTTTTAATTCTATTTGCATTTAATAAGATGTATCTAATATACTGATTAAAATATCGAATTAATTATATCATATCGAACATGCTATATATCAAATACGTTATGGTGAAGTATATCATAATTAGCATTGTTATATTTAGTCACTAAAGTTAAATTTTTATAAATTTTTCAATACAAATTATCAATTTCAAGCTATTGGAGTAGATGATATGTTCATTACGGTAGAAGCATGGCATGATACTGAAAAAATTTATCCTGGTAAGTGTTTTTTTCTTTCTAAAAAAAAACAATGCCTCCATTTCAAAACGTTTTCAAATCATACTATTTAATTTTGCTTTCGAATTTTAAATTTCAATTTTATATTAAACTCTTATCATATTCATTTCTATAAAATAACTATCAATTTCCTATCAATTTTTTTTTTTTTGATAACTTTTAACTCGAATACAATCTTTTTTGTTAAAATTATTGTGTATTTTAAAATAAGGTTTTGCATTTTTTCCTCTCTGAGAAGGATAATTTTGAAGCTTTAAAAATTTTCATATAGTTCTATAAATTAAAACAATTGATGATTGATATTTTCTTCATGCTAAGGAACTGATTATGCTACCCTAAAAGCTCGCATGGTGAATACGTTATCCGAATCAGCGGTTGCCATATTTATCACAAGTTTTACGGATATCTTATCATTTGCCATTGGTTGTTTTACGGATATTATTGCTGTACGTGGATTTTGTGCAATGACTTCTGCATCCATGTTTTTTACATTTCTCTATCAGGTTATCAATTTCTTTATTAATTACAAAATTTATGCTAATCCTGTTATGGTATCACTGCATAATCCGTCTTTTTATTCAACTCTTTTTTATTTTTATAATTTTGTTTTAAACTTTAATTGTTTGAATTTCCCACTCTTTTTGTAATCTAATTTTGCTAATTAGTTAGTTTTATTCAACTTTTTTTTATTTTTATAATTTCGTTTTTAAACATGTGCGATTTTTCGTCGAAATTTTATCTGGAATGAAGGTGAATTTAGGAATTAGTTGTGTTACTTCTATTGATAATTTTTAAAGCAAAATAACAATGAAGATAAGATAGCAATTGATATTTCACTAATGAATGACCAAAGATAGCAGAAGTTCATTTTTCTCTCACTGATGGTTCAATTTAATTTAAAAAAAAAGAAAACAGAAAGATAAGGAATAAAAAGATAAATTAGAAAGTACTTAAGCTTACTTTTTTTGCTGCGATGATGGTAGTTAATGGTAAAATGGAAATGGCTGCGCGGAATGCTTATATTCCATGTTTGGAAACTTCCAACCATATCAGTGATAAAATTGATAAAAGCAAAAATACCGAGTATGAGACAAGTAATTGTTTGTTTTAATTCAATTTTTTTAAATTTTCTACAATAAATAAAAGGAAAACAAGCATACGATGGGTATTTAATGCAAAAAATTTATGTTTTGCATTTATTAAAAATGGAAAATTCGTTATATTATTCATCTACGTTTCTTTTTTTTTTTTGAAAATTTTATCTGGATCTGATCAATGATCAATGAAATTTGATCTGAAACCGATCAGTGATCAATAAAATCGATCATTGATCAGTCCTAGACTCTTTAAATATTTATTATAAATATAGGCAAATTTGTTCTATGCAAAAAATTGTTTCGCTACTTTTTTGATTACATCATGTGTAAACTTTAATTATCAGTGAACTAATATCTTGATAAGACCATAATTGTTATCCGGAATGAAACTATAAGTTTATCTGATAGTGAAATAATGAGTATGCAATTTATTTTTCAAAAAAACTAGAAGGCGCACAATGTTACGATAGCATATACAAAGACAAATTCACAAATGATAATCACAAATCATATCATAGCGGTCATGCTTACATGGAAATGTTATCGGATAAGGCGAAAATATCGAAAAAATCATCATGCAAAACTAGCAGTGAGATGAAATTATTTTTTCGGTTTGCTTTATTTTTATTACAAAATATGAAATTGTAATTTAAAAATGAGTAAAAAAAAACTAGCCAAATTGATCAGATTTTTTTCTTGAGATCATATCGATTGTATGATTAATGTAATAAGTGATTGTATATTTAACTTTTTTATATGTTTATATTTTAAAAATTTTTAAGATTTTAAATTTAATCCAACATTTTCCCAGAAATTATATTAACAGGAATACATATGTTCCAATTTTGTTGGATAATCGAACTAAATGCATCGTTTTAATCCTACTCATCATTTATTTTATTGTAAGTATTTTTGTTTCTCACTTTCTACAACGGAATATTTAATTTTGTAAAAATTTAAAAATTTTATCAACATTTTAAAATTTTAGCTAGCAATACGTGGTATTGTTGGTATGGAGCAGGGTTTAGACTATGACAAATTATTGATTGAAACGGATCCGGTAGTTCAAACAATAGCTATTGAGCTTGAACTATTTCATGGTGGTGATCAGGTACTATAGTTCCAGCTTTTTTTTTTTTTCAAATTCTTAAATTAACTGCAAATTGAACGATATTAGCAACTGAAAAAAAAATGCCAGCGATAATTTTAATATCAACGTGGAAATTAGAAAATAAATAAAATCATCAGATTTCTTGAGTGATTTTTAGATTTCTAATCGGGAATGCAAAAAGTAAATCCAAAATTTCTGATAGACTTGGCATTGTTTCATAGACATTTATCGTTGATTTTTTGCAGGCCTTAAATTAGAAATTGAATAATTCAATAATTCGTAATTATTGTATTTGTTTCTCAGATTGATATAGCTATCGTAAGAGCACCCGATATGACAAAACCGATGAATCGTGAACGCGTAGAGCAGATGATTCACGATTTCGAGCATATGATTTTCGGAATTGGTCCTAAGGCAACACAAGTTTGGATTCGAGAATACCAGAAATATGCAAATATAACGGGTGCATACCTGCAAAATGATCATGAATCATGGGTTGAGGGAGTTTACCAATGGTCACGACTTTTTGCATTTTACAAATTGTGGTGAGTAAATCAAATCTGTGTTAAATCCTTCTTGCATTAATATATTAGCAGTTTAATTAGCAAATACTTTTTCTGTTTTGAAAAACCTGTTTAGCAATTGTTGAGTCCTATTGTTGTTAATAATTTAAATCTCGACCTTTTTTACTTTTAGTTTTTCTCTGATTTCATGTTCATAACTGTTAGAACAAAAAAAAAAAAACAGTTATAGTAGTTATAAAAAATTCAACTTATTTTACAATTTGGCAATAATTTTAAATACTTTTGAGCTCTATTCTTTTTCAAATCTTCATAATTCTTGTAATTTTGATGCCTTGAACTTTATTCCTTTTAATTCTTACCTGTTCTCTTCTTCCCCGATAATAAATTTATGCATAAAAATTATGCTTATTAGGTGTAAAATTTTCCGAATACATTTGTTGAATTAAATTCCAGAATGTAGGATGCTTCAGGGCACAAGACTTTGTTTGGGAAAATGAGAATGATCCACAAAATTTAACAATGAAATCATTTCGATTTCGTATCGGTTTATCAGCACCAAATAATCCAAATGATTTGGTAATGGAATCTCGTGCTTTACGAGCAATTGCTGCAAAATATTCGGATATGCAAATTTATACGTATGAATATAGCCGAATGATTGCTGATCAGGTTTGATTGATTGATTTAATGATTGCTGATCAGGTTTGATTGATTGATTTCTTTTTTTTTTTTTGGAAATTTTTCTTTTACAAATTTTTTGAGCTAAACAATTTTGCTTATCATTCTCCATGGTTCAATTCATTCTCAACTTGAAGAACAATTCCTAATTATCAATCGCGACCTTTGACCGTTCATTTTTCAACATTTTTTTTTTTGCACTAGTCATAGTCTTTATCTTATTTCTTTCCATTCTGTAAATTTTTTTTTTTTTGGCTTGAAAATTTGCGATAAATTTTATGAGAAATGTTAACTTTTATTAGATCCAAAAAGCTCAAAATTAAAGAAAAAACGATGCTCATTTTTGAAGAATTTTTGAAAAAATCATTATAATTTATTTTTCCAAAAAAAAATAAGAAAAAGAAAAACAAATTGCAGTTAAACATTATTTTACCAAATATGCTATTAAATGATAGTATTGCGATTGTTGTATTGGTTATTATTGCACTATCATTTATTCCCAATCCAATATGTACATTTTGGATTTTTATTGCTATTATATCGATGGATATTGGTAAGATTGTTATATTATTTCTTCTTATTTCTTGTCAAGAAATTAATTTAGCAAAATTTATTATTGCATAGTAATTTAGTTAATGGAATTACTTACTTATCTCTTCTTAATCATTATTACATCTACTATTTTCATAATTATTCTTGTTTGCTTATTATTACACCTATTTAATTACAAGAAGATTGTTAATAAACATGCATATTTGTTAAAAAAAATGGTTAAGTTAATCCGTTTTATGGTATTCTTTTTACAAAGCATAAATTCCTAAATGCAAAATTAGAATTAAATAATCATTAAATATTGCACTGTTAATAAGTTAGATCAAATAATTATGCAGAATTAAATGAATTGCTGACGAATGTTCTTTAACAGTTCTGATCAATTTACTCCAAAAAAAAAAAAGTGTCCGAAAGATTCTCCATGCATGAATTTCCAAATAAAATTAATCAATAATCTATTTTAATTTATATTCCTAACATCGTATTAACTTACACAATCAAGTTTCGAAAAATAAGTAAATGAAACAAAAAATAAAAATAAAAAATGAAAAATTGAAGAAAAGAGGAGTTTGCAGGTGTAATTGGTTTCCTAGCACTGTGGAATGTTAAATTAGATCCGATATCAATGATAACTGTGATAATGGCAATTGGCTTCTCCATTGAATATTGCGCTCATATTACATATGGTTTTGTAAGTAATCCAAACAATATTACACCGAATGAACGTTGTATTGAAACAATGGAGAAGTTAGCTTGTCCAAGTACGTTATGATTATATCAATAATTGATTAGAAAAAAAAATGTCATCCTATAAGCTTAAATTGTAAGAAGTGTTTTTTAATAGAAAAATTTGATTTAATCAACTCTGTCGTGAAAATTTTCGATTAAGTAGTTTGTTGGTTGATAGATGAAGATTGTTATAAACGTTTATTCTTCATGAAACATTGTCGGGAATTTTACATGACAATTATGATTTCAACAAAGAAAAATTTCTTCTCGACTATTGATAATCATTTGGAAATTTGGAGAACCAAAAGATAAAGGATTCTGTTTACGATTATTGTAATTTTAGAATTTTAATGTGGAAGTTAAAAGTAATATTATTACAGTTATATACAGTAGCATGTCAACGATATTTGGTGTCACAATTCTCGCATTCATCAATTCCTATATGGTACTTGTATTTTTTAAAACAATCTTGCTAGTGATTATTATCGGCGTTTTTCATGCTCTTCTTTTATTACCCATTATTTTATCTATAACTGCACCAATAATTGATCAAATTACTCAAAAATTATGTAATTCGGTTGAACATTCAAAACAAAATGATACTCATATTTCAACAACTTCTACAAATTCCAATAATCTCCGCGAAGTTACTGCTGATAATTATTAATTGATGCATTTAATCATTTTTCCAGGTATTTAATTTGTTTTATTTCTGAATTATTTGAATTTTGCATTGTGAATTTAGTTGTTTTTGCGATTTGTATGTAATACATAATAGATAATTTAATAAGCTGTTCGATTGTTATAACATTGATACTAAAATAATTTTAACTTTCCAATTCGAAATTAAAGAATGGAAGTAGAAATAGATTTTGAAATTGAAAAAAAACGGAGAAGCAGATTATAAGTGAAGTAATCTTCGGAGGATTATCTTCATTAATCGAGTATTACAGATATTTTGAATTCGAATTTTCAGTTTTCAAATTCCTTTCTTCACTGATAAATACAACATGTTGTCGAAAAAAAAATAAATACACGTGTTATCAAAAAAAGATACGGAAACGGCTGAAATATTTCGAAAATTTTCGTCTGATTAATTCTTTATATTACCATTTCTTCTGTTAACTGAATATACGAAGTAAAAAATTGTGGCTGATTAATTAGTTTTGTTGATGTTAACTTATCTTTGCTATCATTATTAGTTTGAATGTAAAGCTTTCTGAATTAGAACTTTGTTTGGAACTTTGTCCCATATTCTATTATAATATAAAAGATTTATCCAGCAGTGATGAATAAAATATTGCATAGCAAATTATAAGTGAATTTCATATGGAGGCTAAATGTCGCAAATATTTATTTATGACGAATATAAAATTTATTAAAGTTTGCTTTAATCACTCTTTTATTTTAAGTTATATATGATTGTAAAAATTTGCATATTTGAAAAATGAAAAACATGGAAGCTATTTGGCATCATCTTTTGATAATTTACACCTTGCAAGTTCTTTTTTTCTTTTGTGCAAGCACTATCATTATTATCATGCTCATCAATTAAGTATAATTATAATCATAAAAAATATAGGAACTTACGGTTAAAAGTAAATTACTTGGGATAGTTTCTGCAAAATCTATGATGCATCATAATTTAATTTAATCAAACTTTATTTCCAATCTTTAATTTAAATCAAAATGATCAAACAATAAGTCTTACTTAAACATGATAAGCTAGTTATTTATTGTTTTTTAGAAATTATAAAACACTTTTTGCATTACAGTGTATTTTTTCAATCTGCATGAATATGAACACGTAGGTTTGTTTGTTTTTTTTTTCGTTGAATTTGACAAATTATTTTCAAAATAATTTTTTTCTGAAATCTATAAAATTCGCAATTTCCATATACAAATTCACTACTCTGCAGTGAGATTCAGTGAGCGGTAGATTTCGACGTCGTCCGAAAGCGATGTCAACTGTCCTTGAACCGCGAAATGTCATTTATGCATATGTCAGTAATATTTTGATTAATTTCATTTCCGATTTTTTAAATAGCTTCCAAATTTGATAATTATTGATGATTTTTTGAATTCAGAGCATAATTTTTTTCGGCATTGTAGCTTTTTTTTCTTATCCCTCAAATACATATTCAAACTTTTTTATTTAAAAATTTCAAATTTAACATTGTGAAACTTCAAATTTAAATTTGTAGACTGGTATTGGAAATTTTGTTACGCCATTCTTTATTTTTTTTTCCATCGGAACGATCGTATCATTTGGCTTAACAATGTTGCATATACCGATGACCAATATGCTTATTGATTACGTGCAACGACGTGAAAGAGAAAAGGAAGAAGAGAAGGAGGCAAAAATGAAAGAGAAAGAAATGGAGGAAGAAGAAGAAAGAGAAATGAAGGAAAAAAAAGAGATGGGGAAATAATGAAAGTGATAAGTATTAATGAATTATGGTGATAATTCTACTGTTAAAGATAAACGTGAATGAAAGTGCTAATTGTAGTACTAAGGATGATTGGAAAAATATAGCTTTAAAAAATGAGCAGAAGCGATATAGGAAAATGGTGATGATGATATGAATGAGAGGAAAGAAAGTGATAATAAAAATAAATTCAAAAAGAGAAGTAAGAATTAGAAGAGGAATAGTAGAATTCATAAAATTAGCAAACAAAAATTGAATTTTTTTCAAAATAATTTTCTTGGGCATTAATATAATATAGCTGTAACAATTTATTTTTCATTTTTACAATAACAATAAATATATTTTAATTGTATTTTATCCTTTTGTCCCATTCAACAACGAATCATCGTAATTATATTTGATCAGAACATTCAAATATAATTATGGTATTAAGATTTCGAATACAAAATTAAAATCAGTTAGATTAAGCCTCTTTTTTTTTGAGATAAATTTATAGCTGGAAGAGATTGCATTTGCTAAATGCTTTTTTCTTTAATTATTATTCCTAGTAAACTTGAAAAAAGTATCAAACTATTTACTACACATTATCTAATTAATAATTTAAACCATTCTGTAATTAACATATCATATCATTTTCGGAGATTTCCTCATTTATGAAATATTTATCGGATAGTTTAATGATTACTGTGAAACAAAAAGATTTATAAATGTTGTAAAGGAACCAAGCAAAATCCTTTTTATCGATATTTTCAATCAATAAATTTGCAATAAAATATTTATCTCTTCACTTCTCTGATAAGTGATGCTACAACTATGATTAATGGTGTGTAATTGAGTTCAAATTAAGTGGCAAAATTGATAATATCGGCAGTGTCTGTCTCCGTAATCCTTTAAATATCATTTAATTAAGCAGAGAACTTGAAATTTTTAACAATTAAAATTTTTTCAAAAAAATGAACAAATTTTAATTGTTGAAAAAAAATGTTTTTTGAATTTTATTATTTTGATAATTTGTTCATTTTTTTAAAATTTTACGTTGTGCATTATTTTACAACGTCCTGTATTTTGGAACTTAAAAAAAAAATGCAAAAACAATTGTACACGGAGTGGGATTCGAACCCACGCATCGATAACGATACCAGAACACCCAGTTAGACAGTATCACACTTTGAACTCGTGCGAAGCATTGTATTGCTTGAGTCTGGCGCCTTAGACCACTCGGCCATCCGTGCCCGCACATTGTAATCCATTCTGAAATTTTGTTTAAATCAATAAAATATTTTTTTTTTTTAAATTGGTAATCTTTGGTAATTCTCTGAGAGACATCGTACCTTTAATATTTTTCTATGGATTGGCATATCGATCGATGCAAACAAATAAATTTTTAAAATCACTAATTGGTAATATGTTTTAATGCCAAAAAAAAAAAAAAACATTCAGTTTAAAATTCATCGGTGGATGGTTGAATGATTTAAAATGTCAGACTCAAATAATATAATGTTTCATGCAAGTTCAAAATATGATACGATCTAAATGGTTGTTTTAACATTGTTATCGATGCGCTAGCTCGAAACTCACTCTCGAGTTCGAATTTTATTCTATGCATCGACCTCTTCTACTCGATCTTTTTGAAAGCAATTTTAAATTTTAGAAAATTGACAATTTTATGATGTAATAATTGGTAATAAAATTTAATTCCAATCGGAAGATAAGCACAAAGGTCATTAATAGTTATAACGGTGACTTACTTTATCATATAATAATATGATCAGGCATATTTTTGCTTTTATGCCAGAAAACTTCAAATTTGTAACGAATAAATTTTTATTTAATAAAATGTAAAATTTACAAGAGATTGAAGAAAAGAATCAGTTTCATTCGGATAAGGCAGTATAAATGATTGAAAATGCATGCAAAAATTTCTTTACGAGTATCATCAATGCGTACAAAATAATGGGAATATTACATTAATGATTTTTTAAAAAGTAAAAAAAAAAGAAAATTTCAGAAAAAAAAAATTTTTGAAATAAACAAAAAAAATTTTTGAAATTTATTGTCATATAATAAATTCAATTCTTTTTTATCGCCATTTCTTGCAACATTGCTGTTTGTTAACACCAGATTTTGTTGATAAGCATGTAACATAACCAAATGGACATTTGCAATGACCGATTCTTGCTGAGTCAGGCAGACAGTTGATAACCTGAGGTTTAGTTTGACGATAATATGGTGGTGATCGAAGAAGAAAAGTTTTAAAAAGTGGGGGATTCATAGAGTTATCGGAAGAAGTTTGTGTCATTGTTTCATGAACTTCTGATTCCACTTGTGGTTGCTGAACGGAACTGGCAGTAGCGGTATTAGCCGGAGATTGAGCACAACTTTCCTGACATGTATAGAAACAGGATGGCCGACATTGATCTTCTGGTTGGTCTAAAAAAGTTTTATATATTTTAGTCTATTAGTAATAATGAATAAAATGTGGCATAAAAATTAAAGAGATATATTTGATAACAATTTAAACAATTGAAATTTCAAATTTATATTGCAATAAAAATTAAAATTTCAAATTTGTACTACTCGTTTTATTCTTTTAGTTGAATGAGATTTAAACTTTAGTTGTTAAAACAATTTTTCGTTCCCAATTTAAATAGTATAAAAAATTTTAATTATAATTTTATAAATGTAAAAAAAAAATAAACAAATAATAAAAGAATTATTGTACTTTGTCCAATACATTGTTGCAAGCATGTTTCGTGGCATAAATTCATGCAATCCGGTGATTGCTGAATCGATTGTGGTAAGTTAATTGAAATTTCATGAGGTAGCAAATCAGTTTGGGCAGGATCAACTGGTTCCTCGGTGCCACCACTACCACCACCACCACCACCACCACCACCACCACCATTTGTGTATTCTTCACCTGCACCGCTTTCACCCTGATTTTCGGTACAATGTTTCTCACATGATGGCATACAAATAGGTATGCAAATGGTTGCTGTACCACTATAATACTGTGGTCGAACAATAATTGATTTCTGATTAGTTTGAATGAAATTTTGATGAGATGATGGTGAATACGAGGTTTGTTTCGAGTAATAAATAGCATTTGGTTGTTCCGTTCGTTCCGCATAGGGCGGAATTGCGGAAGTGGTTCGTTGAATGCATTGACTTTCACAGGATGGCATGCATAGATGAATGCAAAGTATGTTGTCATTATTGGAAGATTGCTGTATCGCAGGTTCATATTGCTGTGATGCGTAGTAGGAAGGAGTCTGTAAAAAGAAAAAGGATGATATTTTAATTGAATTTTTGAAATTTGCTCAAATTTATGATACATTTTCAATTAGCGGAAGGGAAAAATTGAAAATGACAATGCTAAAAGTTACCTGACTTTGTATCACAGGTATAGGACTATTGTGTTGCGGTACCACAGGTATCGGAGTGGTTCTTTCAATGCATTGTGATTCACAGCCTGGCATGCAAATATTTATACATGTTCCACCTGCGCTTTGTTGCCCGTTGGCTACTTCATGAAGCAATGGCTCATACTGATAAGATGTCGGTCCTCTTGAATGTTGATAAGCTGATTGTATACCACTACAAATTATAATCCTCAATCGATTGTTGGAGGAAAATAAATGATAAATAAAAATTGACGAGAAACTTATGTGACATCCATGAAAAACGTAGTTTTCACGGGGAATTAATTTCATAAATCGAAAAAAAAAGAAAGAACGATTCTTTCTTCATGTAAATAATGTGTGAACAAATCCTTTTTTTATTTCATATATTTCATTTAGTAATTAGAAATTTGAATCTGAATTTTTTAAGAAGTTTGGAGAAAATATTGCTAAATAAACCATGAATTCTGGCATGATTGTTGGCAAGCACTTCGTTGATTTTGCATACAACTTTGGATGCAATTTGTCATGCACGGTGATGCATTCGATTGTTGTCGATAAATCGGTTGCCGGTATTGTGTTGGCAACGGTTGACGATAAACCGAATCAGATGGCTGATAACAGCCACAGCTGACAAAAATACAAACGCAACGTCTTGCTCGAGTACGCAATTGTGTCTACAAATAAAATCATTCTTGAAATTATGCTAAAAAATTATCTAAAGTATTGAAGAATTGACGAGATGTCCTTCTTTTTCAAATTTTAACAAAGAAAAAGTTATTGCCATAATATTTGTTAATTTTTTTTTTTGCGAAAAGTAATTGGTTTAACTTTTTTTCCTAGAACTTTATTTTGGATTACATATTTAGAATTTTATATATATTTTGAAAATTTTTAAATTGTAATAAAAACGTGAAAGTGTTAGTTCTGAATTATTCCTTTAAAATTACGATAATCATCATCTCTTTTCTTTCAATTTATTTTAAACAATTTATATCATTCTTCCATGTTTCTGACAAATTATCATTTTTTTTTTAGATTAGCAAAATATTTCAAAAATACTTATCATAATTAATGTTGAACAAAACTTTTTTTAACTAACATTTGCATCAATTCGCCAATTTATTACCGTATTTTCATTCAATATTAACCAATTTTATTGAATATAAATGAAAATATTTAGCAGACATTTTGTTCAATTTATTGTGAATAGTAATTGCAAAGTTACAATAAATTACTTATTTTATGTTTTTTTTTTTCTTTCCACATTCTCTTCTTCGTTACATTCTATTTTGTTTATTTATTATTGTCCAAATTTTATTTACACAAATGGGCTAAAATGTTTTCTATTGATATCACTTTAGTAATGCTTTTGTTTATCCAATTTACAAGTAATCAATAACTTTTCATACAATTTCAATAAATTATTTTCATGTAACTTTTTAACTTTATTGTTATACATGCTATATGAAAATATTTGGATTTTTTGCAAAAATTCAGGGATCAGATTTTGAAAAGCTTGAATTTTAAAATTAAGTTAAGTTTTTGAATAGTATATCAATTTATATTACTATTTTTAGCTGATCCAATGGATGAAAGAAAATATATTAAGTCATCTGAAAAAAGTAACTAATATCTGATAAGAATAATTGTTAAAAGAAAGACAAAACAATGTCGAATTCAAATTGTATCAGAGTGATTTTTTCCACAACAAACGTAGAAGAGTTTTTAAAAATTTGATAATTTATAAACAAATATTTGCAAATCATTTCTTTCAGTTTTATCAATAAAATGAGTTAAATTCAAAAATAAATTTTTTTTGAAAATTTTTAAAAAAATAAACGGAAGTTCTGTTTCCAATTAAATATCACCTAAAATTTACTACATTTCTTATTAAATTCAAATTATTTTCTTTTTTGACACAAAAAGAAATGTAAAATTTTTGCTTTTTTAAAGTTATTTTTTGACTTTTTCGAAAAAGAAATGAATTTTATTGCAAGTGAATATTGGTGCAAAAGGATTAAATTTTTTTTTAAATGTATTCCAAATTGAATGTTAAAGGTGAAAAGGGAAAAAGGATGGATAGGTTGGTAGATCGGCCAGCAATATTCAAATAGTGGGAAGTTGTAAAGTAAACAAAATCTGAAATTGTTTGTCAATTGGAATGAATAGAGTAGAAGAATTAAACAGCGATAAGTAGATGGATGGATAGAAAGTAAAGTAAAAAAGATTGGTAGAAATTTTTGTAGTTAACGCAAACGAAAAATTGATAATGGATGACATTAGGAAAGCTAATTATCATATGTGATGACAATTGGTATTGTTTAATTTTAAGAATTTCTACTCAAGATTTTAATAAATTTGCTTTCTTCCCTTCTTTTTTTGAAAATGCTAT